CAGTTATTTCAGTCATTATAGGATGTGGGCTTTTTAACGAGCTTCGTTCTGACCACTAACAAAACGTATGTATTGTACAAAGTAACTACTTATATAGGATGCGTTTTTATCACTGATTTTGACTGCATTTATAAATTTAAATATATTTTATGGAAAACATGCAAGAAAAAATTATTTCCTGTACTCGTTTGGTAGCAAATTACGCCTTCTTTAAATTTTATACTTAGAGAAAGAGTATCATTTGGTTTTAGAAAAATTTCTAATCATGAGCTTTGTCACGATTGTGAGGTGTTCATTCATAATAGACCGTATCCGTCAATTTATTAATGCCGTCTATACTGTATTAAGCATGTTCCACACCTTTTGTAACATTTCATGAGAACTACGTGACTTCTTCCTCAAACTGTAGGCGAAAACGTACTTTCCCTTAAACAGGTTGTACACAGCGCGCAGTTTGTAAACCTTGAATTCGAGTGTAGCAGTCAGTAGGTTTCAAAATTATTCGGCAATTACTTTAATCAGTTTACTTTTTACAGTATGATTTGTTAGTGGTCAGAAAAAATCTGGTTCTAAAGCCCGCATCCTATCAGGACTGAAATAAATTCAGAATAGACTACAGGATAATCAGTATCACAAACGGAGTCAATGCCGATTAGCAAAGAGTATAAATCTTTCGCATACGTCGTAATGTGGCACGAATTCTTGCGCGTACTGTATACTCATCTAAAGGGTTGTTTAGAGGCATAATCGAATGACAAAGTTCATTGACAACGCTAACAGACTCTAAACTGATGCACAGAATCGTGGCAAATGGGCTGCGTAAGAAATAGGTGCGGATCTTCAGCATACGACAGTCAACTTTCAGTGCCGAGTACATCAATCCACCAAGATCATCGAATTGAAGTATCAACGAAAACACTGCTGCCATACCCAGGGATGTCGCTACCTTGATTGGAGTACATTTTCTGGCTAAAAATACGGATCATAGCAATATGCGAACTGCTCTTACTACGTGCTCAACACACCTGTGACATTTCCAAGGGCACCGCCGTAAATGCTTTCAGAGAAGGAGCAGGAAATCGTGCTCTTATCAGTACAATAAACTGCAATGAAAGTCTGAGTAGCTTAGTTCAGAGGAGAAAATAACCCAGCGCTACACGAATAACTCAAGTCAGCAGAAGATGCATAAGGAATCCCACAGATGAATACTCATTAACCACCCTATATACTAACTTTTAGGGCCTTGGAGGTGCTTCTACATGCTCAGAGATTACTAGAACACTTCATAAGAGTCAAAACATTCGGAAACAGAGAAAAAGAGTTCGTCAAGGCCTTGATAAAAGCATAAACGAAAACACTACTTCCCAGCACAGTAGTGTCGCTACCTTGATTGGAGTACATTATGGTGGCTAAAAATCTGGATTATAACAGTACGCGCCCTGTCCTTAATATGCGCACCGCACTAAGGGTAATTTGCATTCTCAAAAGTGAGGAGATAGCTTTGAAACGTTACAAATCTCCAAAGGGGGGCAGAAAGGACAGGGTAGGAGGGACCATTCTCACGCGACTCGCGTAAGTGCAGTGTGTGTTAAATGCCAGGACGCGCTTGCGTTCACTGTCAAACTGCTCCCGAAAAAAAAA